ACTCCCAGACACATGGTTGGCTGCCACTGCCTCTCCCTCCCTTCTCTGATTCCAACTCTACTCCAGTCTCACTGGCCTTTTCATGGATGGCTCAGATGTTAACCTCCTCAGAGGGGCCTTTCTGGACCACGTGTCCAGACCAGCTGCCCACTCCTTTGTCCTCACAGCATCTCATATCAGAAATGACATCATTTGTTTACTACCAGCTCACTACCCTCTGCTCCTCTTCTCCATATCTGAAGGTCAGGGGCCACACACTCTACATTGCTTACCCCCAACACTCGGGATTTGCACGGGTGTCTGGTGAGTGTTGCATTATGGGTGCATTCTCATTTGCCACAGGGACTGGAACCGGGTGCTGTTGCCTCTGTCTATGGCCTAGTCGTCTCTATTTGTGTCACAGTCCCCACCGTGACTCCTTCTAGTCTCCCTCACTTGCTTCGGGGTCTTCAGTCATCTCCCTTGCTCTATTCCAATATCACTATCGTGGGCAAAGTAAATGAAGACAGCCCCATGCATGCCATTCATGCCAGCCAGGGCCCTGCACTCTGGTGCCCTTCCACATTCTCATCTCCATGCTGATGAAAACCAGATCCAAGAACTCAACCAGACCCCTGTCCCACTTGACTCTTGCACACACCCCATAAATCAAAAAGGTACCAAAGCCAGCTCTCCAAAACCGAGGGCCCTGTAATCCTCAGCAAGACTTCTCTCCTGTGTGTCCATCCTTGGGATGACCTCCATCACCCCAATCCTCAGATTTGAGATTTTAGGGAATCCAGTGGTGAACAGTACCAGCTGAGACCCATCAGGAACCTTAAGTTCAGTCAGGGACTCGGGTTAAATGGAAACGTGCAGAGTGACAGAAACCTGGCTAGGGGGACAGGAAGGGGCCATGAGACTCCAGAGGAAGCTGGTAGGCAAAGAAGGCTTCCTGGAGGAGGGAACACTTAAGCTGAGAACTAAAACTTTAATAAAACTGTATAGGACAATAAAATAAAATAAAAAGATTTCAGGTATTAAAAAAAAACTGTATAGGAGGAGAAGATTCCTACAGCAGAGGGTGTTTGGAGGCTGAGACAGGAAGGAACGCCAAGCCATGGCTGTGCACAAAGCAGTTGCGTGTGTGTGTGTGTGTGTGTGTGTGTGTGTGTGTGTGTGTGTGCGCGCGCGCGCACACACGCGCATGCACGCTTGGGTGTGAGAGTAATTCATGAAAGATAAATACCAACAAAGAAAGTCAGTGTGGATATCTAGGGCTTAGATGCCCATTAAGGAGATGCCCACCCTCCCATAGAGCCAGTAAAGGTTGCTTTCACATTCCTGTTTTTCAAAAAGGTGCAACCATGCAAAATGGAACAAGAGTTCCCGTCACTTACTAAAGTTCAGCACAAGGTGTCCCTCACCTGTTTGTGGTGATGCTAGTATTAAGCAACCTACTGTGCTACCAGTCCTAGAGACACAGAAAGTGTGCAATGCACTGGGATGACACCTGACAGTGACAATAGGAGTCTACAGTATGAAGCTGTTATTTTGTTGTTTTCTTGTAGTGTGGGGGATGGAACCCAGTGCCGCACATGCTAGGCAGTCACTCTGCCACTGAGCTACATCCACAGCTCTTTATTGTTGTTTTAGAGTGAACGCTTTCTTGTTTATTTTTTAAGTTGCTATAGGGCTAGAGAAATGACTCACTGGTTAGGAACACTTACTGCCCTTGCAAAGGACCCCTATTCCGTTCCCAGCATCCATGTTACAACCGCCTGCAATTCCAGCCTCTGGCCTCCTCTGGCTTCTGCACATATGTACATATTCCTATATGCAGACAAACACCTGCATGTAATTTAAAATAAGCATTTTTAATTGACGATATTATGCTATATCACCAGTAGCATCTCAACTTTACTGAAGCCACAGGGAGTTGCTGACCCATACTGTTTAGGACTGCACTAAGTATTCATGGTGCTATTCAAGCAACCACAAGATCACCGACAGCACATGTTTCTCAGAATACACACCCACGGTTACAGCACACATGCAGTGTTCACCTGCAACCCAAATTCAGGCACCACAGAGGGCATACAAAAGAAAAATAAGATCCCAGCTCTTACTTTAAAGAGGCCATCACAATGAAAGTTTCATGAGATTTTATCTTGGAATTGTCTGCCTATAAATAAACCCAGGAACATGTCCATGCTTCTCCTTGGCCACACGCATAGAACCTGGCGGTTATGCTGGCCCTGTCCTTACATGCCTTTGCTTGCTCAGTCTGTCTTGGGCAACTCTCTCATCACTCTACATGTTCCAGTGACCGTGTGGTGGTCCACGTGGACGTCTCATGTGATTTCCTCATCACTTCAGACATCTTCACCACCAGGTGCTCTCATGCACCCCAATGTACCATCCTGTGTCTGCAGGAACATCCCTGGAAGGGGACTTGCTGGCCTAAACACTATGTGTCTTGTAAACATATTGACAAATACCCTGCCTAAAAGATTACAGCTGATTTAATTTCCCAACAAGAATATAGAGAGTCTGGGTCTAGGAGCAGCATCACTAGACATTAGAAGGATCATTCCGTCTTTCACATAACTAATATGTACGGAGAATTTACTTTCTGTCTGTGTGCCGGCTGTTCTTGACTCTGATGTGTGGATGAGAATAAAGTCCCCATTGCTTAGAAGTGTGTGTGCATGCATGCATGTGTGTGTTATGATTTGTTTTGAGACAAGGTCTTGCTATGTAGCCCAGGCTGACCTCAAATTCAAGCTCCCGCCTTTGTCACTGGATTACAGATGTGCCACACCGTGAAGCTAACATTCAGTGAACACATATCTATGACAGTAACAAGTAGTCTGGATTTTAAAATTTCAGTAAAGCAAAGCTGGGTGTGGTACCTTTAATCCCAGCACTGAGGAAGGAAAGACAGGAAGATTTCTGAGAATTCGAGGCCTACATAGGGAGTTCCAAGCCAGCCACACACTGTCTACACAGTGAGACTGTCTATATATAGAGACACGGTGGATGGAGAGTGACAGCCGGCTTTGGGATGGCTGTTTTATACAGAGTGGGCCAGGACAGACCACAGAGAAGAGACCATGCAGGTACTTGCAGGGAAATGTCCAGTGCAAAGGCCCCGAGGACCTGGGGTGGGTATTTAAGGAGCCAGAGTGTAGCCCACTAAGGTTAAAATCACACAGAGAGAGGGGAGGCTAGAAGGTAGGAAGGACCAAAGGAGACAACAGACCCAGCCAATGCAGGGTCTCGTCAGTTACTGTAGTTGCTGCTTCTTTGCATCAGCTGGGGAGATGCTGAGTGGTTCTGAGCAGAAAGACATGATCTGCTTGGGTTTTAAGACTCCTCTGGCAGCTTTTAAGAATAAACTGGATAGGGAAAGGAAAAGCAAGGGTAATCTAGTACAGAGTGGTGAAGCATGAGGCCCAGGGTGGAAGCCAGATTCTGGATATGTTTTGAAGGCAGATTCATTCTATTTTGCTGATAGGTGGTTCATGGCATACGAAAACTAAGAGAGATTCTAGTGCAGTCATTCTCAACTGTCCTAACGCTGCGACCCTTTAATACAGCTCCTCGTGTTCTGGTGACCCCCAACCATAAAATTATTTTTGTTGCTACTTCATAACTGTAATTTGCTACTGTTATGAATTGTAATGTAAATATCTGATATACAGGATAGCTGATAGGCAACTCGAAGGGGTCTGACCCACCTGTTGGGACCTGCTTCTCTAGAGATTCTGGCCTGATCATGGGTGAGATGGTCTGGGGACAGGTAAGAAACAATCGCCATCTCTGTACATTCTGGATGCTGCATGAGTAATGACAGTTTCTCCGAGTCCATCTGCCTGCCAGACCCTCTTCCCAAATGCTCCCCAGGCATCACAGACTCATCTCATCCCAAACTGTTCCCTGTCTCCTGGCCTCTCCAGCTCAGTGCTATTGCCCAGCAATCCCCACCTTACCCAGTATTCTGCAGGCCACGCCCACCACCACTCACTACTGCCAATTGCCTTCGCCAGTTCTTGTTTCTGCCTGAAGGACCTTCAGGGTGCTGTCTTCCACCAGGGTCCACTGCATGGAAGGGGCTATGAGGATGCGTGGGGATCACTTGAATGAGAGGCTGAGTGGCTTCCTCGGGGTTTTAGTCAGCTCTCCTCGCCTTTCAGCCAACCGCCACACCGCCTCAGAGCCGTCTTGGAAAGCACATGACCATGTCCTTTCCCTGACAGTCCATTCACAGTTCCCCAGGCCTACACAGACATAAACTGGTGGCCTACAGACATGTTTTCTTTGGCCCACATAGTGTTTGGGGTTTTTATTTAAATCTTGAATTAGTTAGCATATTTTACATCGAAGTCTGGATTTCCCATTTTCCTAAGACACCAGGAGAATGAGAGTTCCCAGGGTTCATTTCTCCAGGACAGCTGTTGGCCCCTCTTTGAAAAGCCATGCACTCTACAATTTGCCACAGATGCACTTACCCCCTGTGTTTTGTATACAACCTGCTCCCTTCACTTAAATGACCCATCTAGCCCAGTGACATCCGAAGTTTTCAGTCACTAGCCTTGAAGATGAATGCAGCACTTTTGGAAGCATGTTGCATGAGGTGAGGCTGACAACGGTAAGGAAATGGTGGTGAAATTGAAAGGTCAAATTGGAGCCAAGCTGTGAAGGGTCAGTCTGTCTGTCTGTCTGTCTGTCTGTCTGTCTGTCTGTGTTATTGAGGCTTGGTCTTACTGTGTAGACCAGCTTGGCCTCAAACTAGAAATTCTCCTGCCTCAGTATCCCAAGTACTGGGAGTATAATGATGCAGGGAGTGATAGAGTTAGATTTATGTTTTTAGCCGAGGCCTTCTTGACAAGAGACCAGACAGAGAATCTGGTGAGGAGCCTGAACGTGGCTGGGTCTTTCAGCCATGGAGACCCAGGAGAGTCTCCTAAGCCCGTGTCTGTGCTCTTTGTTTCAGACATTGACATCTGTGGAGGTAGATGCGCAGTACTGAAGACCCAGCCTGGTTCCAGCAGCTGCAGAAGGACGCCAGCCCCTTCAGACCCCTCTGCTCCCCACAGGATGGGAGCCTGGGCACTGGGGGCCCGGTCATGAGGGACTGCTGCTCTTCCCCAAAGGCCATCCCCACACCCCCAAAGCATACCCTTGACCACAGCCTAGGCATGGACTCCAGATACAGCAGTCCCAGCGGGGCTGGGGAAGGGGCCTCCTGCTCTGAGAGCTCTGCTGGGAGCTTAGCCTGCCTGTCTCCCACCTGCAACCCTCTTCCAGAGACAGTAAGAGAACATGGAGCCTTGATCACAGGAACCTCTGAAAAGACTGCGGTAGGGAAGCCGGAGCCTGTGCCCTCAGCAGACAATCCTCCTACAGCCCCAGAGAACAGAAATCCTGTGTTCTTGGAAAAGATGGAGTCCATCTCCTTGAAGCAGGCAGATTCTACTTCCCCAGGAAAGGAAGAGGCTGGGCCCTTGAGAAAGGGAGAGTCCGTGTTGATGGGAGAGGTAGAGCCTGCAATCTGTGGAAAGGGGGAGCCGGGGGCCGTTGGGAGGATGGATTGTACAGCTCCAAGGAAGGAGGACTCTGTATCCTTGGAAAGAGTGGATCCAGTGTGCTCCAGCAAGGTGGATACAGCGACTCCAGGAGGGGGAAACCCTGGGTCCTCAGGCAAAGTGGATCCAAGAAAGGAGGACCCCACATATTCTGGAAGAGAGAATCTTGGATCAACAGGAAAGGGAGATCTTGTGTCTTTGGGGGAAAAAGAAATGGAACCCCCAGAAAAGACAGACCCTGCATCCACAAAAAAGACAGATTCTGGGTTCTCAGAAAAGCCAACTCCAGGATCATCAAGCAAGACAGAACTTGGATCCTCAGGAACAGTGACTCCTGGGACCAAAAAGGTGAATCCTGTATGCTTGGGGATGGTGGATCCTGCAGCTGTGGGAAATACAGAAACTTTGTCCTCAGCAAAAGAGGGCCCTCCCTCCTCAGGAGAGGGAGGGCCTATGTCTGTGAGAATGGCGAAAACAGGACCTGCTGGACGGCCAGAAGGTGTGTTTTCCCCCAAGACAGATCCCACATCTGTGAACAGCACAGGACCGCCAGGCAGCGTGGACCCTGATTCCTTAAGAGATGTGGAACTTGTGTCCTCAGTGAAACCAGAGATCTTGTCTTCTGGGCAGGCAGAACGTGTGTCACTGGTAAAAACAGAAACCCTATCCTCAGGAAGAGAGGACCCACGGTCTTCTAGAAGGGTGGACCACACAACTGTCACAGGAACCATAAAGACATCTCAAAAAGGGAATCCCGAGTCTTTGGGAAAGACAGACCCCGTGTCTTCAAGTTCAGCAGATGCCAAGTCTCTGGGGGCCTGGGGGTCGGTGCCTGCCTCAAAAACTGAGGCAGAGACTGAGGGGAAAGGAGGCCCACTGTCCTTGGAGAAGGCAAGTCCCACAGCCTCGGAGAAGGCCGAGCCCCTCGCTTTCCGCAAGGCAGGCTCCGCAAACCAGGGAAAGGCAGAAACTGTTCCCTCTGAAGAAGTGGGCTCCACGACTGCAGGGAAAGTGGTCCCAACGGCTTCAGGAAAACTAGGTTTGGTGTCCCCGGGGAAGGTGGATCCCATGGCCACAGAGCGAGCAGAAGGCATCCCAGAGGCGAAGGCTCCAGAAAGGAGGAATCCCGTGAATTCTGCCAGTGCCTCAGGGAGTGCTGAGCCCAAGCCTGGGGTCAAGGTGGTAACCCCGCTTCCAGGCGCCTCCTCCCCGGGCAAGGTGGAGGCGCCGTCTTCGCAAGAAGGGCAGCCACGGGTGTCTGGGAAGATGGATCCGTCAGGAAAAGTCGACCCCACGGTGTCTGTGGAGCCTGTGTCCCTGGGGAAGGCCGAGTCCGCATG